ATGCCATTCTGAGTAACCAAGCACTAATCCATACACGAAAGAGGCTGTAGCATAATTTATATACTCCAGGGTGATCAATCGTTTCAACTGGCAAAAGCCCAGTTTTGTGCAACAGCAAGGGTGTCCAAATATAAACATTAGAGACATGTGTACTTAAAAGTATTTGTCGCTTTTATTTAATTAAAATGGCTAAAATTTCAGGAGAGAGACAAATCTTGAAAGATCCGGGTTCTCAGATAGGATCACATATCTGTAAAGATAAAGATTCCCTTTGCACATATGTGCTAGTCATTCCTGACTCCAGGGGGTGGTGCTAATCTTTATTTCAAAGCCAAAGAGCCAGCACTGGCCGAAGATGTCTCCATAGTCATATGGCCGGCATGACTAAATGCTGAAGGTGCATGGAGCACTGCTACCTTCCCACCAAGGTGGTCCCTATTTTTCTACTTGTATTTTTACATGCTTTTGAACTGCTAGGTTGGCAGAAGCTGGGACAAGTAACGGAAGCTCACTCCATTACATGATGTTAGAGATTCGGACCGCCGAACTGCCAACCTTTCTGATTCACAAGCTCAGCGTCTTAGTCACTGAGCCACTAAGCCACCTTCTCTCACATATTTGAGTCACTTCTAATTCATTCTGTCGCTCTCTCTCGATAGGCAGACAGACACACATACATTTATACAGTATGTCTGGGGATTATTAATTGCTTTTTTAAAAAAAGAAAAAGAAAATGAGGTCGGTGACCATCATGCACTGGTATGCCTTGGTATTTAGAAGAACCATGCTCCGGTCCAAGATGAATTGAAGCTTGTGGTTCTAAAAGTCACAAACATCAACCATGGGCACTGCACATTGGCACAAAGGCCTGTTCCTAGTTAAATGCAAAGAGCAGGGAGGTTTTAAGGATTCACACAACTGGCCCATGCACATTCACCCATAGCAGGTGTTCGAAAACACCTGACTAGCTCCTAAAATCAGACAGATGAGGCCTTCAGGGGGAAAAAGGCAGCAGCTGTTTTGAAGTGTCTTTCTTTACAAAATGTGTTGGGATGATGAGAGAGTCAAAAGAAGCAGTCGTATTTCAAAATCACGTTAATCAGTAAATACATCTTACCCACAGACAAAAAGTTTCACACACATATTTGCCTGTTCCATGCTCTGGGGCAGTGGGGGTTCCAGATCCTGTTCCAACCGGTATGGTTGGAATGTGCCCAGCAGCATCCACATTGATGCGCGCACACATGCACAGCGCACGCATGTGTCTTACTGCCTCCGTGAGCCTCCGCGACGCTCCAGCTGCTCAGTGCAGCATCGCACAGGCACTGTACGCGCCATGTGCGTGCACGAAAGCGTGGAAGCCTTAAAAGACAGGTAAGGAGGTTGGGCGGGTGGGTGGGTCCTCCGAAGCACCGTACCGGAACAGCATCCAGTGCTCCGGGCAGGGTCCAGTACGCCCTTACTGGGGCGTACTGCCTGCAACTCACCACTGCTCTTGGGCCATGCCAGAGGTGGGTTCCTACCAGTTTGGACCGGTTTGACCGAGTAGGTAGTAACTCAGTCGCCCATATCCCTGAACTGGTTCCATAGGTGTCGCCATCTTGTTTTTTGCTTCTGCTCATGTGCAGAAGCAATTTTTTCACTACAGACCTTGTGGGACTAGGAGAGAGGGAGGTAGATAATCCCCGGATCCTCTGTCTGAAGGATCGCCATGACCATTCCTAAATGATCTAGGGGAAATAGAGGGAGAAAGGGAGGTCACCTGCCTGCCACGTCTGGCTGGGGAGACGGAAGGGGATGAAGAACTGAAACCCCTAGGAAGAGAGGAAGAGGGGGGAGGAATGGGCCTCACCAGAGACCTGGATCTCTCTGGAGAAGTGGGTCGAACATGGTGAGCCCTGGCCACTCTCTTCTCCAAAGCCTTCTGTCTGCGGAGCTCATCTCTTACTATGGCTCTAGAGGGACACTGATCTGCAGATGGCTTAGAAGTCGTCACCCTAGGCCTCAACCTGGCCTGGCCTTCCTCTGTCTCCTCCACATTGCTCCCTTCAGGGCCCTGCGTCGCCCCAGTGCTTGTAGAGGCCATGCCTCACTCACATGGCTGGATCTGCTTGGAAGTTGAACCAGAGCCCTTTCGGCCTCGATATGCGGTTGCGCTGCCGGTCAGAAGGGCTCTTGCTGCCTCGGAGCCCGCTCGCGATGTAGGCCTTGCCCGTGCGGAGGTTAGCACCACGAGGTTGCTCCAAAATGGCCACCGCACCTTGTGGCGAAAATAGATAAGAGGCCGCCCGATAAGTTGACTCTGAGGTGGAAGCCTTCCGGCAAGTCAATTATTAGCGCTGCTCAAACTTGCTTTGGCCATGTGGCCGTGCTGCTGCACAGGCTTCCGAAGTGCTCTTAGGAGTCGCGTTTGGCGAGGCTCAATTTCCTCCGCCGTGGCAAGCTGTTAAGATGTGGCAGCTTTAAGGCGCGCCTAGGATAATCCCGGCGATGCAGCTCGCGTTCCGTCCTCTTGCCTACCTCGTCGCCTTAAAGCCTCTAGGTGTCTCGGCTACGAATGGGAGCTCATCACCCCTGCATGCCCAAGAGTCGGACAAGCCCCTTTGGCCCAGAGGCAAGGACTGGGAGCCCTGCCTCCTTATGAGACTGATTAGCAGACTTGATGGCCAGCAGTCTGATAATTTAGAAATTTGGAGCATCCAATTAATCGAATTAAAACAGCAATTATTAATATCTCAAGGAGCCAAAAACCAGTGTTTGGACCAGGAGACTGAGAGGAAACTGGGAGCCAATAGGGAAGGATGGTGAGTTTAAGAAAATTCCCTCAGTCTCTGGATCAATCAGGCTGTGACTTAACCCTGTTTTAGCCCTTCCCGCCGAGCTGCAGGAAAACATCACATTCACAATGGTGGATGTGCCTCTCTAGCAATCCTAAACACTGTATGCATATTAGGGACAATGGTGGGTTCCTCTCCCCATCGCTACTGGTACGCTGCTCACGGGGCTGGGTGTCCTGTTCGTTCATGCACGCTGCACACGCATGCGCATTCTATCGCCCCTGCGACACCCAGCTGCTTGTCAGACGTCACACATGTGTCACACGCTGTGCGCATGTGCACAATTGACCGGTTGCTTTAAAAACAGGTATAGAATGCGGGCGGGTGGACCAAACTGGCCACCATACCAGTACGCTGTCAACTGCTCCCGCCTACTACCAGTATGGCTGTACTGGGCCATACCGGCTGGAACCCACCACTGATTAGGGAGTAGGCCATCTTGAACACAGAGGGACTTGTATCCAGATAAACTTGCAGAGGATTGTTCTGTCTGATATTTACAGAAACAAGATTGGCTGGTCTTTTGAATACATTTCTAGGCGTTATGACTGAACTGAATAATAGCTGTTGGGAATTATCTTCTAATAATCCTCAAATAGATCCCACCACCCTTTTAAAATAGCTTAATAAGATCTGATGTCTTATTAAGTGACACTTCCCAGAAAGTGTCAGGACAGACTGCATAATATAAGTAGTTTTGTACATGGGGAACAGAAAATGCAAACAAAGCTGATTGGCCAAGATTTTTACAAGTCTGCCGGTGTCTTTTGGAACTTCACAGAGCCAGTTTGCATCTTTTCTCAATGTTGAAATTTCTCTGGTGGGATTCGGTCATGAAGCACCATTTATGAAAGGAATAGGAGTTGGCTATTTTTAAAAAATCCATTCTATTTCAATTACCCCAACTAGGAACAGTTTACAACTGGCTTTTTCTTGCATGGATTATATGAACTCTCTTGTTCTCTATTATTATTTTGTTATCATTGGTGCTAAATAAACTTTTCATTGTACTGAAAAGTCTCCATTTCTGTTTCTAAATGCTTTATGTCTCAATAAAGTGTGTTATATACTGTGTTAAATGAGCTTTAAATAAAGGGGAAAAACATTTTAATATTAACTATATAGAGCAGGGGTGTCAAACTCAAGGCCTGGGGGCCAGATCCAGCCCGCAGGTTGTTTGGATCTGGCCTACAGAGCCACCCTGCAAACAGGGAAGGACAGGCCTGCAGCACCTCTGCCAGAGAAAACGGAGCTCGGGAGGGCAACATGCGGCTCTCCCAAGATCCATTTTCCCTGGCAGAGGGTTATAGGAAGCTGTTTTTTCTGGCAGAGTGCTCAGGCCCCCACAGGCACCAACAGGCGTGACAGCGAGCTGGCCATGCTCACCCTCCCCTCCTGCTCCCTCGAGGTCAAACACAATCCTTATGTGGCTCTCAATGAAATCAAGTTTAGGGTATTATATGAGGAAAATAAAAATCTAAGTCTATCAGCTATGTCATGATTTCTGCAAATATATTTCCTGTCATAATCCAATGTATGCAATTTTCTCTTTTACTTTCACATAGCAGACTGTAAAATATGACTTTTATGACTTACTTCTAAAAAGCAATCACAGCATATTTAAAGTTCATAGTTGGGCACACCGTAAGTATGAACAACTAAAATACAGGTAGTCCTGGTTTAACAGCAACAATTGGGACAGGTCACTCTAGGCTATTATTAAACAAATAATTAAGCAAATGATTATGATGATTATTAAGTGAATCATCCACAGTTATTATGCAAGACATCTGTGGCTGCAACTTGCAATTTCACTGCCGGTTTCTCTATTGACTCTGTTTGTGGGAAGCTGGTTGTAAAGCACTCAGATGCTGATTATGTGACCACTGGGACACTGGGGCAATCATTAGCCCAAGGACTAGTCATAAAGCTACATTTTTCAGTAGCTATTCATTAAACAGAGCAGTCATTAAGCAAGAGCTACCTATAACAAAGAAGTCAAAGGACATCCCATTGCTTAACTATGGGTTGACCTATAAAAGTATCCTTTGATTATGGATTATTAATTTAAGTGATAGAGTTCAATCACCAAACAAGGACAATTGTAGGATTTATTTCCTCTGAGCATCATTCTCATAACCTACAGGCACACAACAGCATTACCTTTCTGATGAAGTTCACGTGACATTCTCCTTTTTGCACAGGTGGGGGACATTCTGGAGGCACTTTATACGATTGGTGCATTTTACTTTGTTGTGTAGCATATAAAATAGCAGACAAAAAATGAACTTGGATTGTGTTGCTTTCCTTGATCACATCAGTAACATCAAATTTCTATTTCAGAGATAGACCAACAAAAGAGAGAAGGGGGGAGGGAGGGAGGGAGGGAGGGAGGGAGAGAGAGAGAGAAAGAGATTGTAGACAAAATGAGTGAGTTATTCTGGTGCACAGAGTCATTTGCATGTTGGTTCAGTTATGTGTACTTGGATTCTTCTGTTTGCAGGGGTGGGCCGTCAGAGGCTTGGAGGGGTTCAGGAGAACCTCTAGCTAAGATTCTGTGCAGTTCGGAGAACCCCCAAATCCCACTCCTGGCTGGCCCCACCCACACCTCCCAGGAGTCCCCACACGGCCCATTTTGAATGCAGGACATGCACAGAGGTTCGGGAAGGGTGAAAACAGGCCTACCAGAAGTTCAGCACTCTGGAGCCTGGGGAGGGCGTTTTCACCATCCCGGAGGCTCTGGAGCCCGGGAAGAGCAAAAAGCCCCCTCCTGCCATGGTGCAGGAGGCCGACTAGGCCATGTCAGGCATGGCCACACCCACCCAGCAACCAGGAAGAGAACCCCTTGCTAAAATTTTTGAAGCCTACCCCTGGTTTATAGATGTATACCACATATGTAGGCACTGTTAAGAAATAAGGATGATTTGCTGGTTTGCTGTATGATTATCTTCACATTTCTCCAAAGGAAAGGAACTCCACGGAAAGATTTTTCTGCTCCGAGCACAGCAAACCTTCTGGATAATAGCAACAACAGCGTCATTAGCTGTTGATTGGCCCTGTATTTTACAATAATGTTACCAGAAGAGGTGCTTTTCAAGCAATGCTGAGCTTTCTGCAGAAGTGGCTTCAGGAAAGTATTGGGAGGGATTTTTTTTGCCTCACAGATGCCTTGTGTTCCCATCTCTACCCTCTTATTATACTCTTCATGCACAAGAGATACAGCATCTAAAAGCAGTTCCTAGCACTAGGTTACCTCATCTTATTGATGACCCAGATAGTCATTGATTGGCTAACTCATTTCATGATGTTGCTGTTGAACATCAAATTAATCTGCAAGAAAACATTCTGGGCAGTCATCAATCTGGAGGGGGAGGTGCTTGCAGTGAATCCTACATTGTGGACAGGGTTGGACGTGATTACCTCTTAGGTACTTTCCAATCTATGATTTATGATCCATTATGTCAGTTTCGTTAAGCAAGCTAACCTAATTTGTATCATAGAGACTTGGATGAACAATCTAAGTGTTCAAGATTTAATCAATTAAATCTGTCCAAATACAGTTTTGGCTGTGTTTGTGGAGTTACATTCATACACAGAAATTCCATTCCCATCACCAGGAAACTACTCATTCTGCAATTTGAGTCCCCAAAATGCAATCTGTATATAAGGGCTTTTATTTCATTCTGGGTTGAAGGGATAGAATAGGGTGTTACTGGCATATCATCCACTCTGTTGTCCATGAGCCTTTGTGTTTGAACTGGTAGAGATGATCTCTAGTGTCATCATCCCTCTTCATCGGCTTCAATGTGCATTCTGGGGACTCAAATTGACCAGTCAAAAATTATAGGGTTTTCTCAGTAGATCAGATACTTTGCAGATGAAATAGTCATGTTAATTTTTGCTTTTAAGCAGTTAAGACAGAAAACCAATGGCTGGAGGTGTGCATGTTTTTCTTTATCCATGGCCTCTGTTGTCCATGAGCCTTTTGGTTTGAACTGGTAGAGATGATCTCTAATGTCATCATCCCTCTTCATCGACTTCAATGTGCATTCTGGGGACTCAAATTGACCAGTCAAAAATTATAGGGTTTTCCCAGTAGATCAGATACTTTGCAGGTGAAATAGTCATGTTAATTTTTGCTTCTAAGCAGTTAAGACAGAAAACCAATGGCTGGAGGTGTGCATGTTTTTCTTTATCCATGGCCATATCCAGGGGTGAAATCTACTTACTTTCGCTACCGGTTCGCAAATGTGAGTGTGCGCATGCACAGAGCATTAAAAACAGACATGATGATGTCTGGGCGGGTGGGTGGAGCCTGCTACCGAGCACGCCTGCAAAGGTAAGTAGAACAGCAAGGGGTGGAGGGGAATCCGCTGTGCCATGCGATTCAGATTAGCTAGAAAGCAGGAAATCCTGCTTTCTAGCTAATATAAATCGCGTGTCACAGCTGATCATCGGAGATACCGGTTCACCTGAACCAGTAACATTTTTTTTACTACTGGTTCAGGCGAACCGGTCCGAACCGGTAGCATTTCACCCCTGGACATATCTATTCTAAATACAATTTGTGTTGACTATCGCTCAAGGAGCAGGGAACAAATTGCAATGATCCATCTCCAAAGATTTATGAGATTAAAGCAGCGGCCTCCAAACGTTTGGGCACCAGGGACTGGTTCTGTGCGGACTGGAGGGGGTGTGGTTTTGTGTGCTCCCTGCATCCTGTGAATGGAGCTTAGCTTGTTTGCGCGGCCTGGTTGCTGGCATGCTGCAGATCAGTGCCGGCCCATGGACCGGAGGATGGGGACCTCTGGATTAAAGCACTTCTGACTTCTTTGAGGGATATTTCAATGCATAAAATAATACACGGGATTGTGGAAATCTTCTAGCCCAATACCTTGGCCAGGCAGGAATCCTCAGACTATGCCAGACAAATGGTTGGACAACCATTTGTTTAATAACCTTCAGAGATGGACCACCTACAGTTCCAGGAGGCAGGCTGTTCTTTGACTTCATAGCTCTCAGGGTCATGAGGTTCTTCCATATTTCAACTTTTAATCTTCCTCTGAAAGCTTCAAGCTCCTGGACTTTGTCATACCCTCAGAGGTTATGGGGAATAAATTCACACTCTCTTTCTTAGGACAGCCCTTCAGATATGAGAAGACTGATATTGTATCTCTCTTTAGCACTGTCATCTTTAGCAATAGCAATAGCAGTTAGACTTATATACCGCTTCATATACCGCTTTCAGCCCTCTCTAAGCGGTTTACAGAGTCAGCATATCGCCCCCACAGTCTGGGTCCTCATTTCACCCACCTCGGAAGGATGGAAGGCTGAGTCAATAGCAATAGCAATAGCAGTTAGACTTATAAACCGCTTCATAGGGCTTTCAGCCCTCTCTAAGCGGTTTACAGAGTCAGCATATCGCCCCCACAGTCTGGGTCCTCATTTCACCCACCTCGGAAGGATGGAAGGCTGAGTCAATAGCAATAGCAATAGCAGTTAGACTTATATACCGCTTCATAGGGCTTTCAGCCCTCTCTAAGCGGTTTACAGAGTCAGCATATCGCCCCCACAGTCTGGGTCCTCATTTCACCCACCTCGGAAGGATGGAAGGCTGAGTCAATAGCAATAGCAATAGCAGTTAGACTTATATACCGCTTCATATACCGCTTTCAGCCCTCTCTAAGCGGTTTACAGAGTCAGCATATCGCCCCCACAGTCTGGGTCCTCATTTCACCCACCTCGGAAGGATGGAAGGCTG